CGCACGAGGGAAATGTAAGTTTCAAGTTTTTGGTCAGATTGTGCAACAATAGAGTTCTTGTGTGTGATTCTGAGTTCTAGGGAGTTTAAGGGCTTGTGTATGCGTCCTTTAGCTCACAAATAGTGCTTCTATTTATAAGCAAGAAGTTTGGATTCTTGGAGAGATCAGAAATCAAGAATCACATGTTTGTGGATTTTGCCTTGTTTTTGAAGCAACATTGATAAGCATTGTTCCAAGGCAAGGTACAAGGATTGTAGGGTGGATGAAACCTTTAAACATACTTGTTCTGATTGTGTAGATGGTGTTTGTGCAAAAAGAACAAGTGCAAGGCTCAATGCAAACTGACTTTGCATAAAGCTTGCTTTTCTAAAATGGCAATGTTGCCTTTCTTCCCAAAATGGAATTATGTTTGTACAATGCATTGAATGCTTGACTTTAGGGCATGAAACCTTGTGTAATCCATTAATGATGTAGTGACAAACGAGTTTGATACCTGAAAAGTGAAGATTGTGCAACCATTTTGAAGATTTGAATTTTGGTTCATCATGAAAATGACCTATAATCAAGTGAGAAAACCCTAACTTCCTCTCTTCGATTCTCCTAACTCAAAAATGATCTCAAGGAGTTCTTGGACATTTTGGAAATCTCGTAACATGATCTACAATCCATATTTGAATCAATTTTGTAAAATCCAATTGTAACTATGTGAAACTTGGCCAAGAAGTTAGGTCAAAATCCTGACCAAAATGCTCAAAATTTCACTGAAGTGTTTTAGTTTCATGGACATGACTTCATGGTTTAATAACTTGAAATACAAGCACTTTTAGAATTTGATTCCTTCTATAAAGTTTTGGATCTCATTGAGATATACAACTTTCATGTTGGAAGTTTCCTTTGAATCACTTTGCATCATGATGAAAAAATGTCATAAAGTTATGAAAAAATATGAAGTTTAAACACTTGGAAAAAATTCTAAGTGTTAGAATTTTGACTTTTTCAAGTTGATTTTGACTTTTTGATTTCTTGATGAATAAGTTTCATATTTTGACTGTTTTTATGAAATTTGATTGTTGAAACTTGATTTTACTCAAAAAGTCAAAGTTTGACTTTTCACTGTATCAATTGACTTTTCATCTGTTGACTGAATTTTGACTATCAATCAATTGATCTTAAGAAATGTTTTGAGCCATACCATTAGGTCAAAATGATGCATTTGAATCCTTGATAACATGTCCCAAACCATCAAGCCATGTGCTAGGTCAAAACTAAAAAATTGAGCCTTCTCAGTCAAAACCCTAATTTTGACCATTTTGCCCTTTTGATGATCTGATCAAATTTCTTGAGGAATTCTGATCCAAACTTGACCAAATGATTCATATGAGTTTAAAATATTGATATGGATCAAAAATTATGAAGTTTGACTGTAAATTGACTATAGTTGACTTTTTCCCCAATACAACTGATTTTAGGTCAACTGATCAATTGACTGAGCAAAAGTGTGATCCAAGACTTGAAACTTGACATGAGCAATCTTGTGAGTCCATAATGGTCCACGAAAGTCATATGAGGCATTAAAAGTCCAGTTGTCATTATTTAAACTCAAACCCTAATTTTGAGGTATCAGTGTTGAGAAAGCAAGTTGAGTTGATCCAAACTTGTGCAATCTTGAACCAATGGAGATTTTGAGAGAAGAAACTTCAGAGTATGAGAGGGAAAATTTTGGGGTATAACATATGGCTAGGGGAAATCCATGTTTAAAGTAACAGTTGTCTACAATGTGGTTTGTTTTGCTGTAATGAGTACAAATCATGAAGGTCTTGGGGTTGTGTTTCCCTTTGTTGCGAGAGTTGTTGTTCTAGTTAGCATAGAGAGTCGTGGGATTAGGGTTTGATGCAGAGGTAGGGACGATCCGTTGTTTAAAAATGAAAGAGTAAACACGACTTATTCTAGGGAGAGGGACAAGGAGGAGAATTTATGTGCGAATATTATGATAGCTATCATTCAATCCTTTCAAGAATCATGTTATGCACTTCCTGTGTTTGGAGTTACGCACAACCTTACATAATTCACAGGTGCAGGGAGTGGCGCAAGTACATGAAGGTGTTGGTCTAGATCCTCCAATTAGTCCCAAAGAATCTTTAGATCAGTGAAATACATTGACATGGATCTATCACCCTGTTGAATGGAGTGTAATTCACGAAGGAGATCAGAAAACCGAAAATGATTACCTTTTGTGAATCTTTCTCAAAGATCTTCCCAGAGGTCAAAGGCGGAATCAAAACAATTTATGTTTTGAGGGATGTGCGGTGAAAGGGTGCGGTTGATCCAAGAAAGCACCATGTTGTTGGCACAATCCCATAGATCGAAATTGGGATCGAAAGAATCAGGTTTAGGGAGAGTTCCATTGATGAATGCGAGCTTGTTCTTAGAAGTCAATGCTTTTCTCATGAATTTTCTCCAGTTATAATAGTTATTGTCATCTAAAGGTGGTGTGACAATGGTGGCACCAGGGTTTTCTCCGGGATGTAGATAGTAAGGATTTCTAGGATTTAGGCTTTGATCGAGGGTTTCTTTCTTGGGCGGTGATTTTTTGTTTTTGGGTGGAAGGATCATCTATGTCACCGTCAGACGCCATGAGAGATGGAATCAAGAAGAAGATAGGGTACGAAGACGGGAAGAAAGAGATAAATGCAAAAAATGTACATTATTGATACCATATTATAGTTATGGTTATGCTTTGATGAAGAAGAAGAAGAGCCATGGCAGCAAATGCGAAAGAGAGAGAAATATGAATTAAATTGAATTGTAATAAAAAGGCTTACAAAATATATATATATATATATATATATATATATATATATATATATATATATATATATATATATATAACCTAATGGGCCAAAAGATATGAATAAATAAAGCCCAACAAATTAAAACAAGCTAATCAGTCCATTATCTTATCATCTAATAGTTAGCACTCTGATGCTTTAGTAAGTATGTAAAAGAGAATAGTGAATTGAAATTGAATAAAAACTGAGTACCTCAATTGACACATTCTCTATATATAATAGAGAGGAAATAACAAACCTGCTACTATATTATTAGGCGTGGATTGCAAAGAACTGTTGGATATAATTGAAGTTAGGATCCTCTATACTTATATGTGAGGTAGTTCTCGTATGCTAAAAAGTTTTAAAAGAATTTTGTCTCTTTTCAATTAGTCGGGGATCCATATGATCAACCCAGAATAATTAATGTGTGTGATGGGGCGTGAAAACAATCATTCGTCAAATCAATCTAGACCGTTAGAATAGAGTCACGAAAAAATTGCTTATTCAGTGAAAAAATAAAAACACACATGTTCTATGTCAAATATTATCATCATTATTATTAGGTTTCTGCACTTTTAAGCCTTATGAATAATGTGGAACAAAACAATTCATCAATTTTCAATATGATAATGATAAGAAAATTAATATTATTTAATTATTTTAAAATTTAAAATAGACAGATTAGTTTCAAATAAGATAAAATAAAATTTTGAGATTAAAAATAGTGCACTTTTAATGTAAATTAATTTTACACCATTATCTAATAAAATTATAATAATATAACATGTGATATTAGTATTTTTAAATTTAAAATATAATTTTATTAAATACATATCCCCGATTAATTGAAAATGTAAAGATATTTTACAATCTTACTGCATTATCTTTTTTCTCAAAAACTACATATATAATATATAATTAAACCAACTACTAGTTTATAAAGCCATCCTCTGCCGGCCATCTTGTCATATTTTGTCAATTTCAAAATAATTTAGTCAACAGCCTAATTGTTGCAGATTTAAAAAATTACATAAATGTTAACATGAAAATTTACTTTCTCCTAAATATTATTATCATACATTAATATATTCAATTCTGAAATAAATAAAATATGTTAAAGAATAATGTGAATTATATTAATTAAATAATATTAAAATAACAACAATCATTCATTTGTTTTACTTCACAACTTGGTATCAATCAATTATATAATAATTAAAACTGTATCTGTATTGTTTACTCATACGGCAACATTGAATCCCCCACCCTACGGCCAAATCCACATAAAATAAAGGTTTGCTAACCTTTAGTATTTTATTTAATAGAAATACTAACAGTAACAGTTGTCTTCCGATATTGGGTAAGAGATTGAAAAAATAAATTGAACATTTTTCAAGAAAATAGAAAGAGTTTAAAAAGATAAGTTCTTCAAAAAAATATATTTTCGATGCTTTAAAAATAAATAAATAACTTTTTTTTAAGAAACATTTAAAAGAAAAAGTAATTTTAAATATTTAAAAAGATTATAAAGATATTTTACATGGTAATTTTATGAAATTTACCCTAAATATAATCTTGTAGTTAACCGAAAACAAAAAGATGTATCAACTATATCCAAAAGACAAATCTCGCAATAGAGACCAAGTAAAAGTTAAAAATAAGATAATGAGATAAAACCAAATAACGATTCTTTCCACGTCACGTTTGCATCAATCTATGGATAAGAACAAATTTTAAACAATTAACTACTTTTTCTTTCTTTTTTTTTTTAGTAAATAAATATTCTCTTTTTCTATAAATACTCTATTCCTTTGATCCTATAGCATATCCTTTGATTTCATCTATTCTATTTTCTTCTTCAAACCTCTTTTAAAATATTCAAAAAAAGAAAATCTAAACCCATTAGTATTTAATAGTGTTTTGGAGTTTGGACAGATTCCCCATCAATATCAAAATCAACTTGCCGTGCCCATTGTTCCAATTCTCAAAAACAATATCTTCCTTCATTAATAAAACCACATCAAAGTTTGTTTCTTTACAACAAAACCATTTCTGGCTCATTCTTAATTTGTGTTGGAAACCTTAAAGTTTGGTCCTTTATAACAAAAACTCTTCAGATCTTTTCTGGGTCATTGAGATTTGTGTTGGGTTTTTTTGTGATTTTTAAGAATGGCTGCTACTACTGCTGTTGGTGTTATTGGTGGTAATGGATCTTCTGTTTCATGGATGCAATTTGGAAGAAAAGTTAAGAAACAGAATAAGATGAACAGAGCTAGGGTTTCTTGTTCTTCTTCTTCTGTGATAGATCCTTATAAGACATTGAGGATTCAACCAGGTGCTTCTGAATCTGATATTAGAAAGGCTTTTAGACAACTTGCTTTGCAGGTTTCATTCTCTATCCTAATTTTTTTGTTCCCAAATTTATGGTTTTGTTTGAGATTTATGTATTTTGAATTTGATTGCTTTTTTAGGGTTTTTTTTTTGTTGTGAAAATATTGACTTTTTGGGTTTTATTTGTGTTTCAGTATCATCCAGATGTTTGCAAAGGAAAAGATTGTGGTGTGCAGTTTCATCTAATCAATGAGGCTTATGATGTGAGTTATTATTATCCTACAAATCTTTAGATAAATTTTTCCTGAATTTTCATTACATAGTATAATTATAATGATTTGAATGTAATGATGATGTTCTAAATACATAATTTATAGTTTACTTATAGTCAATTAGCATATAATAATTGAGATTTCATTGTTGCTCATATTGGTAATTTTAGGTTGCAATGTCAAATTTGAGAAAAGAAACAAAAAAGGCAGAAACATATAAGGCAACTTATGATAATGAATCATTTAGAGGAAAGAATGATCCAGGTTGGGATTATTGGGAAGAATGGATGGGTTGGGAAGGAGCAGGAATTCGTGACTACACTTCTCATATTAATCCTTACATTTGATAAAGTTTATGTTATGTAAATTAGTAAATTAATCCTTTAAATTAATATGTATGTGCATTATTATTAGTTAAGATGGGTCTAATCTAGACCTACTACTTGTCCCCATTTGTCCCCATCTGAAACTGGTTGGTGCTTTGTATATAGTCCAGTCCATGTTTGTGTCAAATTTTTCTCTACATAATTGAAGTTTAGGACAATATTTGGCTTGTCATTATTGTTAAAAACAAATAACAACTATTTCACAATGAATGTATTATTATGTTTTTTTAGATTAAATAAGTTTTTTATCATTTTAAAATATCTCAAATTTCGTTTTTAATTTTAAATTTTGGTTCTTTACTACCAAATCAAAATCGTAATTAAAATAATTTTTAAATTTGTTTTTAAATAAAAACCGTTATTAAAATCGTTGTTAAGTTGTAAAAATCGTTTGATAGAAAAATTAAAAGTTAAAATTTAATTTTAAAAAAAAAATTGATTTTTTTTTAAAAAGAATTAAAAATGAAATTTAAAACATTTAAAAAGATTAAAAATTTATTTAATTTTTTTATATTTTCTCTTTGTACTTATCTATCAAAATTGATAATTCTTTTTTTTTTTTTTTCTCTCGGTATTTATTATCTATCATCGGTATTTATTATCTATTAAAATTGAATAATGATAAAGATGTTAATATTATACTACTTTCTTTTTATAAGAAAATTTTAATTTTTTAGATTAATTTAATAATTGATGTAGTTTAAATATATTATTTATTTAATAAATTTAAAAAATTAAATTTTTTTTATAAAAGGGAATGAGAATAGAGGGAGTATCAAACTAAAATTGAATAATGATAAAGATGTTTCTAATTGAATAATGATAAAGATGTTTCTAATTGAATAATGACAAAGATGTTTCTTGATGGTTCCTTAATCTTTTTCTGGGCACATTTATAAGCACAATTAATTAAGTGGAATTAATTTTTTTTATTCATGGACAATCTAAGTAAGATTTATTACATTATCTATAGTTATATTAAATTAATTATTTAATAATATTAGATATTTTTAAATTAATTAAATTAAGGGTATATAATATTCATATAGTCTAAAAATTAATGAATTTTATTTATAATAGCGATTAAGAATTAAAGTTGATTTTGAGGGACTAGTGATTTGTCATCCTAGCAAATGAAAAGGTAAAATTACACGAGGATCTTTTAAGTTTTGAGGGAGTAGTGATTTGTCATCCTAGCAAATGAAAAGGTTAAATTACACAAGGATCTTTTAAGTTTTTTTTTTAATATGTTTTCATTAGGGTGATTTTTACCTTCTTTTTTTTTTTTTTTACATTGTGAATATTTAGAAATGCTAATGTTTATATTTTTATGGAAATTTCTTTTCTTATTTAGTGGTCTTTCTTTTGACTTCTGGTAGAAGAATCGAAAACTTTTAGAATTTGTAAGTGCACTTGCAAACGCACCATCAATGTAAATTATTTGATTTATTTTGTAAGTGCACTTGTGAATTTACCTGTTTGAAGATTTCGTAAATACACTTGTAAATTTATGTCTGGGCAGAAAATTAAAAATATTCAATACAATTTATAATATTCATTCAATATAATTTAAAGAAATTACATAAATAGTTATGCAGAAAATTAAAGTTACATATTATTATAAATGTGAAGTTGTGGATGTTACATCTTAATAACATCCTCTGCCGATCTACGAAGCGCCGCATCCATCTTAATCGGACACTTTGTAGAGTATTGTTGGAAAGTATCCAATATAACCTATAAATCTTTGTCATTCTTCAGCTGAAACGGCGTGAATTTTACGTTTTCTTTACTGTTAAGTGAAGGTGAACGATACTCAAGCTTGACTACCTTTCGATTATCTGGATACTGTAAGAGAGTGCAGTATTGTGATGAGCTCGGCGTACGACGTGTCTTGCGATAATCTGAACTGACGAGGCGTCTACACACCAGTGAAGTAGACAAAAGCAAGGTGTGAATATGTTTGTGTCATGTTTTCTGTTTTTGGTTTGGGATGAACAATGAAATGATTTGTAGACTCAATATATAGGCAAATTAGAGTAATATGTGTAACACCCCAATTTAATTAGAATTATTTTTAATTAAATAATAAGACGATACAGTGAAATTATATGAGTTGGTAGAAATTATGATGTGGTGTGACACTTTATTGAGGGCTAGATGCCTTAGAATTATAGAAATTGAGGTCATGAGGGAGTTTGGTTAACTGTATAGAAATGTAGGGGGTGTGTAGAATAATATGGATTATTATTATTATTATTATATTAGGGTAATTATTATTATTTTATAATAATAATTAAATAATTATTTAATTGAGATAGTGTTTGTTCTGGACTGGGCCTGCCCGTGGCCCAATCACCAGTGAGGTCCAATCCAAGCTTGTCAACGTATCATGCTGAGCATTAGATCTTCTGAGCACACCCCGATCATGGGTGACTGGTCGAATGCGACGATGTCCCGTCGGTGCCCGCGAGGAACGTCTCCGACGAGGGACGTCCCCGACGAGGAACATCCCAATCCAAGCTCTGCCCGAGTACCCTCCTCGTAGGGCAGACCTTCAACCTCTTCGGATTCCGCGGAGTCCACAGGGTTTCGGGAAGATCGCGTCTTTACCCTCCCTATTATGCGGAGAGCATCATCCAGGTAGGGGACCACGTGCAGGTCCCCACTACTCACGTAGAACTTGGCAGTCCATTTGTTGGGTCTGTTTGATCAGCCCAATAAAGGGACTTTGGCCCAGTGTTGGGGGCTATAAATATCCTCTATTTCGAGAGGGTCAGGTATTCATTCATTCACACCTATACTCACTTGCTTGCTCATTCCATCTCTCATTTTGCCATCGGAGTGTCTTGCAGGTACCCCCCCCCATCTCCTTCAAATCCAGCCCGAAGTCAGCTGTGACGGTCCAACTCTGATCAGGTACGATCAGTGGCGCCGTCTGTGGGAATCTAAGCTTCCCCGTCTTCTTCACTTAAAAAGACCAAAGCTAAAACCATCCTCGACTGTCATGGCTGACCAGAATCAGGACAACCAGAACGTCTGCGTCATCGAAGCTAACAACAACATCGTCGACAATAATGCCGGCCCCGACAACACCGACATCACCGGCCATAACACGGTCCCCGACAGCAACATCCCCGGGCCTTCTAACTACCGGGACGGAGCCACAACTTCATCTTCATCAGTCCCTCCTCGGCTTGAAGAATATCCAACTGTCCAATTCCATGAAGTCAATGTTCCTGCCGGGGCAGACGTCACGACCAGGGCACTGTTCGCGGCGATTAACCAGACCAACTATCTCATCTTTGCCCAGGGGGAAAGATTGAGAGCACTCAAAGACGACCGAAGGCCCCCTAGAAGACACATGAGGCCTCAATCTCCTCCCCCTCGAAAAACAGAGGAACATCCTCGATCTCCCCACCGAAGACAGAATCGGGACATCTCTCGAAGCCCGTCGCCTCGACCAATTGGGCTGCGACCCCACTTGGAGAGGGAACTACTCATCGAAGCAGGAAGGTGCGACCACGGACCTTCGCGGCAAGAACGAAGACCTCCCAGGGACAGACACGGAGGAAACTATCAACGTTCACATCGCTCGAGGAACGCCCCGCACGACCAGGGCCACCGCGATCGATAATACATCGGATCCACGTCCTGCTCCCCGGAACGGAGTGACGAGGACGACCCCCGCGGTCCCTTGTCATAAGCTATCATGGAGGCGCCCATTCCCCCGGTCATGGAGAAGCCTCCCCACTTAAAAGAATATGACGATGTCGCCGACCCGGTCGACCATATAGACGGGTTCGAAGCCATGCTGCACTATCATAACATCGGGGGACCAATCAAATGTCGGTTGTTCCCCACGACCCTGAGGAAAGCAGCTATGGACTGGTACAAGGGTCTCGCCCCGGGGTCAATTACCTCGTGGTAAAACTTGAAGAACCAGTTTATCAGCTCGTTCACTACTTCGCGATGACACCCTAAGACCGAAGCGGCGCTCGAGGCCATCATCCAGAAGCACGATGAGACCTTGAGGGAATTCATCAACCGCTTCAACCGGGAAGCCATCCAGGTCCCCTGCACGGACCATATGAAGAGATACCTGTTGGAGATGGGGCTCCTCCCTGGCACCGAATTCAGGAAAGCCGTGGGCATCAAACCACCTCGAACGTTTGATGCCCTCCTCGAGAAGGCCAGAGCCTACATGGACTACGAGGAAAGGGAAGCGGCCAACAGAGCACGAGACCCCGGAAATCGCGGATCCAGCAGCAATCTGCGACAAGATACTGCCCTTCCTCGACGAATCGGGGAAAAGAGAAAGGACGATAAACCCCGGGATGCCCGGGAGCAGAGGGGGCCCTCGGGACGGTTCACAGAATACACTCCGCTCACGGCTTCCCACGAGCGCGTCTTAGCGGAGTGTGCAAGTACAGATTTTAAGGATGGCGGCGTCAAACGTCCCCGTCCAGCTCCTGCCAAACCCGGGGTGGACCGGAGCAAATACTGTCAGTACCACCGGAGCCACGGGCATCTGACTGAAGACTGTGTCCACCTCAAGGACCCCATCGAGACCCTTATAAAAGGGGGGAGACTCGCACAGTACCGACGAAACGACGCTCCTCGTCGGGACGCCCGTGAGACGAGGGAAGCCGAAGAGGATGCCCGACCATATGACGAGTCAGTTCCCATCCAAACTGCATTCTCCGTCACAAGACCCGAGGACTTCTACATCCCCGATAACATGCAAGAACCTCTGTCGACGCACAGTAGGTGGGAACACTTCCCCTCCGCCATGGTCATCAATGGTGGAGGGTTCAATGATCTGACCATAAATTCAGCTAAGAGGAAGCTGGACGAGTTGGTCGACACGCCCCCCCCCCCCCCTCAAACGGTGACCTTTGAAAAGGTGAGGGGCTGGTCAGAGCCAATCACCTTCTATCTCGAGGAGCTCCCAGGAGGGC